GGGGGGGGGGGGGGTAGTTTAGAACTCGCTCGTATGGGCCGTGAGTTCGCGCTCCTTACGTGGAATAATACAGCTGGCGCGATAATAATAGGACGGTGGCGTATATGCGTAGTGTAGGCTAATCCGGGCTTATTCAATCCATGAATAAACAAAGGGAAATCCGCGAATCATAATGAATACTATTCTGGATGGATTGTCTTGCTGTGTCGATTTTAACTTGGATGTTGCTCGATGCGACTCACAATGTGGGCGCATGGAAATAATATTTTACATTTGAATTAATCATACCGCGTTTTCGTCAATTCATAGAGAGCTCGTTATTGTTGGCATTATGGATTGTCACTTTATTGATTGTTTCGTGTATCAGTTAATATTATTCGACTTAGCAGGACAAAGCTATTTATGCAATGACGAAAGGTATTCGGCAATAATAGCTAATTTGCTCCGCAAATAATGGTATTCATAGGATGGTAAATCGCGTTATCTTATAGAAATGATAATTCTTATAACAATAACAATAACAATAATAATAATAATAATGATAATAATAATGATAATAATAATAATAATAATGATAATAATAATGATAATAATAATAATAATAATGATAATAATAATGATAATAATAATAATAATAATGATAATAATAATGATAATAATAATAATAATAATGATAATAATAATGATAATAATAATAATAATAATGATAATAATAATGATAATAATAATAATAATAATGATAATAATAATGATAATAATAATAATAATAATGATAATAATAATGATAATAATAATAATAATAATGATAATAATAATGATAATAATAATAATAATAATGATAATAATAATGATAATAATAATAATAATAATGATAATAATAATGATAATAATAATAATAATAATGATAATAATAATGATAATAATAATAATAATAATGATAATAATAATGATAATAATAATAATAATAATGATAATAATAATGATAATAATAATAATAATAATGATAATAATAATGATAATAATAATAATGACAACATTTATTATTATTATTGTTGTTGTTGTTGTTGTTGTCGTTGTCGTCGTTGTCGTCGTTGTCGTTGTTACTGTTGTTGTTTTTGTTGTTGCTGTTGTTGTTGTTATTATTATTATGATATTTAATGATATTCAATTTTCATTATATGTATGTTGAAAATATGTGCATACTCAGTTAAAATATTCTTCGGTTGCATAACTTGAACTTGATAATAATTTCCCGTTATATGAACATTGATATTTCTATTTAATTATTTTAAGAACTATGAAACAAGTGATTACTAATACTTTTAATACATTGACGGTCCATTGAATTATTACCATTGATTTAATCAACTTAATGCAAACAATAAATATTGAAAAGCCCTACTATGCATATAAGCTGCTTTTCAGTTCGCTGGAAAAATCTAATATTACCAAATTTTAATAGATTTTGGGCCGTGCAAGAAATGTTTGCGTGCACAACAT